TCAGAAAGGTGGACAAATTTTTCGGCGAAAAAAAAAAATTACAAATCGTTTTGGAAAAATTATTTTCGGTTGCGGGGGTCAATTACAATCATTTTTGGTCATTATAATTACTACCGAAATCCTACGCAGTTTGGAGAAAAAAATTCGGGAAGGTGCTGAAATTTTTTGGGGAAAAAATTGTTTTCAAATCGTTCTAAAAAAATTATAGCTAGGTTCTGGGGTTAAATACAACCATTTTTGGTGAATACACATACCCCCAAATTCCTACACAATTTCGAGAAAAATATTCAGAAAGGTGGACAAATTTTTTGGCGAAAAAAAAAAATTACAAATCGTTTTGGAAAAATTATTTTCGGTTGCGGGGGTCAATTACAATCATTTTTGGTCATTACAATTACTCCCGAAATCCTACGCAGTTTTGAGAAAAAAATTCGGGAAGGTGCTGAAATTTTTTGGGGAAAAAATTGTTTTCAAATCGTTCTAAAAAAATTATAGCTAGGTTCTGGGGTTAAATACAACCATTTTTGGTGAATACACGTACCCCCAAATTCCTACACAATTTCGAGAAAAAAATTCAGAAAGATGGACAAATTTTTCGGCGAAAAAAAAAATTACAAATCGTTTTGGAAAAATTATTTTTGATTGTGGGGGTCAATTACAATCATTTTTGGTCATTACAATTACTCGCGAAATCCTACGCAGTTTTGAGAAAAAAATTCGGGAAGGTGCTGAAATTGTTTGGGTAAAAAATTGTTTTCAAATCGTTCTAAAAAAATTATTTGTAGGCACTGGGGTTAAATACAACCATTTTTGGTGAATACACATACCCCCGAAATCTTGCGCGTTTTCGTGAAAAAAATTCAGTACGGGCGGAATTTTAAAAGTTAATAACTTTTTAACGAAGCCTCCATGAACAAATTGGTATTCTTGATTTTCGTCTTATTTTGGTCTCTAGAATCACCTATTAAAATTTTTCGCAGGGGTTGCTGAACACCCTGTATATTAGATGTGTTCAAACACAATACAAAGCAAGATGTGGCCCGAATATTAAAGTGAGTCATTGCACATAGGTTCCGACCATAAACTCATAAATAACATTGAAATGTCCTTGACACTCCCAAGCATTAAGCTTTTCTTCGTAAAGGTCTGATGACGAGAACGTGCGCCTGCTTCAACAACCCTGCGTTCTATTTGTTCAAATCGTCGTATTAATCTATTAATAGACCATAATGAGACACCCTGTCGATTCGAGATAGTGACATAATAAAGTATCCGGGATAACTATTCCATTAACAATTAAGTTTTTTGCGATATCGTGGAAGCATTCTTTGCTACACGAGGCCACGTCACTTTTTCCCCCAACCAAGGAAGGCCATCTTTTATACGTATTTGAATCAATATTACGAGATAGTGGCAAAAGCCTCTAGGGATTAAAATTATCGAACTTAAAATTCTGTGACAACGGTTTCGAAACTTACGAGCGATGAATTTTTGTTATAATAGTTGAATTTCATTTATTCAAATTTACGGTTATCACTATTAATTTTCGTACTTGCTAAATATATGTAGAATCATCATTTACGAAGTTGTCTAATCGGAGAATTCACTGAAGATTAAAATTGACTAATGAGTCATTTTAAAACCCAACTTTTATAGTCTTCGTTCTTTGTCACCTTGTAAAATTTAAAGACGGATTCACGTAGTCGTGAATTCGCTTTGTCTTTATTTATTGTTTGGGGTTTATGGGCCGAGTGACCGAGCCATTGTGCGGGACGAGTGTGTTCAGCGAGATTAACGGCCAAACCGAAAAGGACACGTCATTTGCGGCAGAATACGAGTTTATTGGGGTTCGAATTTCAATATGATCAACTAATCACACCCGAGATACAGGTCAAATGTGTTCGCGTAGCAAGAAACACTCAGTCACGGACGTTCGCTAAAATTTTAAGCCGCCATAAATCATGCGTTCGAAAGTCGGACAGAACGAGATTTTCCAAAGTTCAGCTTCGAGGAGAAAGCAACCTGTCTCTGTTTTGGAAGAAATTAGTCACGACGAGTAACGGCAATAGTCGAACCGCGCGACTTACGTGTCTCGTTATACAGGGTGTTCCGTCAACCCTGGGAAAAATTTTAACGGGAGATTCTGGAGGCCAAAATAAGACGAAAATCGAGAATACCAATTTGTTGTTGGAGGCTTCGTTAAAAAGTTATTAACAATTAAATTCAAATATTTCAAATCGTTCTGGAAAAATTATTATTGGTTGCAAGGGTCAATTACAATCATTTTTGGTCATTATACATATCCTCGAAATCCAACTGACTTTCGAAAAAAAAATTCCAGAAGGTATGGAATATTTGGGCGAAATTAAAAAATTTCAAATCATATTAAAAAAATTATATTTAGTTACAGGGGTCAATTGCAAGCATTTTTGGTGAATAGATAGATTCTCGAAATCCTACTGACTTTCGAGAAAAAAATTCGAGGAGGTATACAATTTTTCGACAAAATTAAAACATTTTAAATCGTGCTAAAAAAATTATTTTTAGCTAGGGGGGTCTATTACCATCATTTTTTGTCATTATACATACCCTCGAAAGCCTACTCATTTTTGAGAAAAAAATTCAAGAAAGTGGACCAATTTTTCGTCGAAATTGAAAAGTTTCAAATCTTTCTGAAAAAATTATTTTCGGTTACGGGGGTCAATTGCAATCATTTTTGGTGAATAGACATACCACCGAAATCCTACCCATTTGCTAGAAAAAAATTCGAGAAGGTGTGAAATTTATTTTCATTTTGCGTAATAAACAATACCTTCGTTGTCGAAAATGTAATAGCAATGTTACGATCACGATAATTGCATAACTGGGAGTTTAACCGACGTATCGTAAGAAGCTGGTTACTGACATTGACACTCTTGAAAGAGACACGACAAACGTAATATCGACGGTTCTTCTAAAATTCTGACTCGGTTGTGATATAACACAGCACTAAATACAGCAAGTTCCTGGTATTTTTTTTTCGGTCTCGTGGTTTCCTTATCCGACGCGTGCAACCTGAAACGTAAACAAAGATCCTCGCCCCGACGTTTTTTTATTTACCGAGAAGACGCGCGAGCATATTCGCGGCTGAAACCGACGACGTTGAAATAAAGTCTCATCAGTCAGGCGAACAATGAAATCCGTTGGAATTCAAATTAGCAAGAATAAATATTGAATCTTTGCAAGGTTCTCGTTGTGAAAGAAAAAGAATATTACGAAAAAATCTGTTTTTAAAAATAGACGAAGATAATATCTACCGGCGGACGATAATACTGTTCAATTATTTATTGAAATCGTAATACCGCGAATGAAACGTTAATACAACTCACCGTTTCGAAAGAGTCTCCATACGTAAAACTAGAATTTTTCAACGAATTTATTATAATATTAAAATGTATTTACAAGCATTTGCACGATTCAGGCTTTATATTAAATGGTTTTACAAGTAATCAGAAGTCAGTTTGAAATTGTTATTATTAAATAATGTAAATATTCGGCCACCCCTGGGAAAAATTTTAATGGGAGATTGTAGAGGCCAAAATAAGACGAAAATCAAGAATATCAATTTTTCGTTTGAAGCTTCGTTAAAAAGTTATTAACAATTAAACTCAAAAATTTCAAATCATTCTGGAAAAATTATTTTCGGTTGTGGGGGTTTATTACAATCATTTTTGGTCATTACAATTACTCCCGAAATCCTACGCATTTTTGAGATAAAAATTCCTTCGTAGATACGAAACAATTTTTTATTTTGATTTTTCCGACAATTTTTCACGTGACAAAGTTGCGCCGTTCCGTTCTCATTGTCGCGCATGGGAAAGTTTCTCGTTCGAGATTATAGTTCGTCACTTGAAACGAAACTGTGTCTATTACAGTAATTCCCGTACGCGTTCGTTGTCCGCAATTATGAAACGTGGCGAAGCGAAGCATTTCCCTGGGCGGAGGTTTTCCTCTACCACTGTACCCATTATGAGACAATTCAAAACCGGTTATAGTGTTCACCGGGTCGAAGAAGGGGTTTTCGTATCGTTCGTCGGTGCAGGGAGGGGGAGGGGGGAACACGGTCGGTCAAAATGTTACCTCTCGGTGGTGCACGGATCGTTCACCCTAAAAACAGATTAGTATGTCTGTTACGCAGGTCAAGGGAACTTAAAAGGGCCAACGAAATCGTCGATGGTCATTAGTGCACGTGGAACCGTCACACCGTGAGGTTCACCTGAATTTTACTCGTCAGTTGTCTACGAGCCGTTATTCCGTGGTGTTCCCCTCGTTCAGCGTCGTTCGGTTTTGCCCGCACGTGGCGTTGTGTTTTGCCTCGCTTTGTTTTGCTTTCGCCTCTCGAGATAAGACGGACGGGACGGTACCGCGTGTCCGTTGAATGCGAAGGTCCGGAGATATACGTGGAAAAAAACGTTGCCCCGAGCGAGAACAGCCAGCAACTACGTAAACTCAACACGGTGAGGCTACATGGCATTTTCGAAGTGTCGTCGATCGGGACTTCTCGCCCAAGGAACATGTGCGGCGTAGTACATAGAGTGGAATGTCGCGTGTGCCACGTGGTGCAACTCGACTGCCCCGACGCCCAAACGCCCCACTACCTTCGCTAGAATTTGAACCTTGCACGCGATCCTTTTCAACCGTCAAATATTACACGAATATCCATTTAATGTTTTCTCAATTATTTAAAATAGACCTTGAAATTTTCAGTCGATTACCAAACGAAGCAATTTTATTAAGAACCGGGAATACGTAATTATTTTTATATTCAAAATAGGGATTTCTAGTAGAAATTTCGAAGGTAAAATTATTTCGTCTGTCCGTAAAAAATTAGCTGACGGAAGTGTTCAATTTCTACCGTAATCAAGGGTTTAATAATAATACACGTTGAGCGTTGTATTCCGATGATCGTTTGAAATTGTGTTTGAATCGGACATATGGTAAATAGTTTATTATCGTTCCAGATTCCACAGGATCGGAAAAAGTGAAATTCGAGGACTCGAGGGACCCCACGAGCGGAACGATTGGGGCTGGAACGACTGGCGGGGGTGCGAGCAGCAACAAACGCACCAAGAACAAGAAAAGACGCGAGGCGCAGCAGGAGTTCACGCATTCCTGGATGGTTGGCGCGTTGAAGGGTCACACTGCTCCCGTCCTCGACATGAATTTCTCCAGCAACGGCAAGTTTCTCGCAAGCTGCGCGGAAGGTACGTGTCACAAAAAAAACAAGGAAATATTTTATCCGAGAGAGGTCTCTATCAGCGACATTTGTTTTTTTTTTTTCTTTTTCTTCTTTCTTGCATCATCTTAACGTGGCTTTTCTGCGCCCAAGCTTATCGCTAATCTGGAATGAAATAGTACTTCGAGATAAACCCGAGCAAACAGTATATACGATCGTTCAAACGGTAGATTAATTTTTCATTCAGTTATCGGGCGAATATTCTTTCTTTTTTTTTTTTTTTTTACATCTCGATAAAAGCACATTATCGAGCGTATACAGTGACTTGATAATCCAGCTCGACAGGGGACTTCAAAGGGTTAATTTAATGGGTAATTCTCGAGATGGCGCGATCGTAACCTATAAATTTCTGAGATATTCTTGGATAGGTCGATATCAGCGCCACTTTTAGGCAAAGCAGGAAACAGCTCCGGCGTAATACGCTCGGCACTCGAAGTTGCTATCGTTTACAGACAAATAAAACATACGATACCATTTGGGTAAACAAATTTGACCTTCGCGCGTCCTCTCCGCATTGTACAAATAACAAACCGATCGCGTCGAAGTGTGCCTCCTCGAAATCGTGCATCTATTATCTCAGGCATTTTTCAGTATCGTTAATAACGAGCGATATATTTCCGGTAATAAAGTTAGGTGACACGCTCGATATACACTCCGCGACAAAAATATAGCACGTCAATTTTTTTAAATTTTTGCTAATGCAACTAATTAACAACTCTTGTATCGATACTGTTTCTACCGGGTGTTAAAAGACGTCTTTTGAAATTTTAACTTTTTAATAATTATTTGCAGTTTTATTTTTACAAAAAGTATAAATACATACGAATTGAAAATTTAACAAAATGCTTATAGCACGTCAATTTGAATTAATTAATTAACAGCTCTTATATCGATACTGTTTCTACCGGGTGTTAAAAGACACCTTTTGAAATTTTAACTTTCCTTTTAATAATTATTTCCAGTTTTATTTTTAAAAAAAGTTTAAATACATACGAATTGAAAATTTAACAAAACGCTTATTAGCACGTTAATTTTGCTTAATTTTTGCGAATGTAATTAATTAACAGCTCTTGTATCGATACTAATTAAAAGACACCTTTTGAAATTTTAACTTCCTTTTTAATAATTATTTTCAGTTTTATTTTTACAAAAAGTATAAATACATGCGAATTAAAAATTTAACACGCTTATTAGCAGTTGCACGAGCAAAAGGATAAGCAACAAATTATTCAAATAATTATATTTCTCTAAATTTTAGTTCCGTATTAAATATTTTGAAATATACTTACATAATTTGTTGTTGTTATAAGACGGTGCAAACATGAAAAGCGATGCGGTATATTGTTCCAAAAATAAAAAAAAATCTTATATTTATACAGCGCGGTATCATTTTGTCGCGGATTGTATGCATTGCAAATACGCGTCGCAGACGTATAATAATAACGATAAAGAGTTTAGTCACCAAAACGATCGAGGTTTGTTTTGGAGATTTTTCGGTCGGTGGTTGGCTACGTCAATGGCGAGCGCAAGAGTTCTCGTTGTTGCGCGAGAAAAGCGATAAAAAGGTTGGTGTCTCTGATAGAGCCGCTCGTAGAGGAATCGTTTTTATATTATTATTATCTGAATGCCCTTGAGACGCAGTTACCGCGTTACAAGAACGATATTCGCCCCCCGAAAGTGATCACGGGGATCGTTTTTGTGTTCTCGTTGGTGACGCGATGTGCTTTTTATAATTCTGCATGTATCATTGCTGTCCGTATTGTTGTGTCAGTAACAATAGACGATCTCTGTCTCCGCTTACCCCGTTTCCTCGGCTATTTACGACTGTATATATGTACGCTTGTAACGTTCAGTCGCGCGCGAAGACAAATGCGACCCGTCCGCCGAAGTAAAAGTTATGTCGCCGTTTGAGCGTGGCCGGAGAGAACCCGTCGACTCTCCGAAAGGAAACACGTTTTTATACAGAAACGAATACGAACTTATTACTGGATACCCGCGTTACTCGTTACGATTTTTCGTTTAGTTCCACGCCGGAACGGAGAAGTAAACGGAAAATGTAGGTCGTTCGAGTGAAATCAAGCCGTTCGGTCACCGACTATAATTTTTCAGCTCACGAAAAAAAACGTTATCCTCCTGCCCTCGTTACGTTTCACTCTTCTTGACCGTCCTAATCTTCGTCTCGGTCTAGTTTTAACGGTATCGCGTAGAAAAAGACATCTCTGGCCCACGTGGGAAGAATTTTTACGCTTTTTGTTTTCGGACGGAATTTCTTTCTTTTCTTTTTTTGCATAGATGGCGCCGTGGCCTAATTAGCCAAAGAAGGGCAAACAGAGTGAAAGTAATGAAAACCATGGAAAAATCGCACGAGCCGAACGACTACTTTCACTATTTCATCTTTGAGATTGAAACGAGATTTAACGATCCGATCTCTCGCTATCATCGTTTCTGTTTAAATGATATACAGAGTGTTCGGCTACATCTGGTAAAAATTTTAATGGGAGATTCTAGAGACCAAAATAAGACGAAAATCAAGAATATCAATTTCTTGACTGAGGCTTCGTTAAAAAGTTATTAACGTTTAAAGTTCCGCCCTTACTGAATTTTTTTCTCGAAAATGCGTAGGAATTCGGGGGTATGTGTATTCACCAAAAATGGTTGTATGTAACTCCAGAATCTAGAAATAATTTTTTAAAACGATTTGAAAACAATTTTTTCCCCAAAAAATTTCATCACCTACTTGAATTTTTTTCTCAAAAATGCGTAGGATTTCGGGGGTAATTGTAATGACCAAAAATGATTGTAATTGACCCCCACAACCGAAAATAATTTTTCCAAAACGATTTGTAATTTTTTTTTTTCGTCGAAAAATTTGTCCACCTTTCTGAATTTTTTTCTCGAAAATGCGTAGGAATTCGGGGGTATGTGTATTCACCAAAAATGGTTGCATTTAACCCCAGAACGTAGAAATAATTTTTTTAGAACGATATGAAAACAATTTTTTCCCCAAAAAATTTCAGCACCTACCCGATTTTTTTTCTCAAAAATGCGTAGGATTTCGGGAGTAATTGTAATAACCAAAAATGATTGTAATTGTCCCCCGCAACCGAAAATAATTTTTCCAGAAAGATTTGAAATTTTTGAATTTAATTGTTAATAACTTTTTAACAAAGCCTCAAACGAAATATTAATATTTTTTACTTTCGTCTTATTTTGATCTCTAGAATCTCTCATGAAAATTTTTCCCAGTGGTGGCTAAACATCCTGTATGCAGAGTACATTTTGTAACGCGATGAACGATTTCTCAATTATTTATGGACATCTAATGAATATATTTTAGATAAAAATGTTTACCTTCCACTATATAACGTGGTTTTGTGTAAATTATAATAAAACATGCAATTGCATTTAACATCGGCCTCTTATAGTGTCCGTTTCGAAACATTTGTACAGTGTCTAAAAATACCTGGAATAATTTTGAACGAAGCGATTGCCCGCAGAGGAAAAATAAATTGAAATGTTACAGATTAATGTTTGTTCGTATCGCGTTCGTTCGTTACCGAGAGAATCGATCATAAAAACAATTGGTCGCGCGTGCTATCCCAGATGCATAGCGTATTTTCGAAATCAATTTTCTCGGAAATGAAATTTCATTCCAAGTTTTCGTGTCGTGTCTTACGAAAGGCGTATGTGGCCGCTGTCGATTGCATCACGCGCATTAGGATATACACGCCGCGACAAAAGTATAAGACGCGCACGAAAATATGGGAAAATTCCACTCAAGCAGACTCCTCGGTTCCGATAACTCGTCAAACAAATGTAAATATACTACGTGATATGTGACAAAACTGTAAGACAATCTCTGTTCTCTAAGGAAATGTATATTCAATATACAGGTTGGTCGGTTAACTCTAGGAAAAATTTTGATGGGAGATTCTAGAGGCCAAAATAAGGCGAAAATCAAGAATAGTAATTTGTTGATTGAGGCTTCGTTAAAAAGTTATTAACGTTTAAAGTAGTAGAACGCAATCTGCCAATGAGAACCACTATGATGCGTGCGCAGCTGTTCGCAGATGGCCGTTCTACAAGCGTAACTTTAAACGTTAATAACTTTTTAACGAAGCCTCAATCAACAATTTACTATTCTTGATTTTCGCCTTGTTTTGGCCTCTAGAATCCCCCATCAAAATTTTTTACAGGGTTGGTCGAACACCCTGTATAAAACAAGAAAAATTAGGAAACTGTATACGTTTCTCCCTAAAAGAATATTGCAATGCATGTTATTCGAAAATGATTATTTTTTGCAAAATTTTCGTACGTATCGCTGATTCTGAGAAACGCTAAAGATCTATGGATGTTTCAGTAGTTTTGTCGCGAACTGTATCGCGCATATCGAGAAGCTACAACGTTAGACGCGGTTCTTTCGCAACGGGCCGAGTAAGGGTTAAGATATTTGAACACCTCCGTGTGCTCGGCCCTCTTATCCTTCAACGGCTCTCCGCATAACGTTCGTGGGTGACCCGTTGACCATGAAAGATTTTCGTTAAGTGCGCGTCGGCTTCTCTCCGACGAGTTTCTCTTCTCTCGTTTCTCCCGGCGCGCTTAACCTCGAATTCAAGAGAGACGAGACACCGTGCACGTGTACATGCCCGTCGAGAGCACCGAGGAGCATGAATAATACGTGCCGGGTACAACGGTAGCCCGTGTTCTCGGAAGAAGGCCTTTTAACAGGAATTTCTCGGCTCGAGCGATTCCTTTTGCTGTCGTCGATTTTCGATTGCTTTCAAGTTTTACTCTTTGCATTCTCATCGCGTCACTCGCGTTCCGTTTTCATCATCTCCGGTAACAATTCCTCGAATTCCTCCAGTTCAATTCATAATTCTTCATCCTCGATGCTTCTTTCGCCCACTTCGATTTTTTTACCTCGTTCAATCTTAATTAATTTCGGTTTTTTATTTTACTCGTACCTTA